ACCGAGAAGTGCCAGATTTGATGCAAGATAAGCCTCTAGGAGCAGGAAAAAACCCTTGAGGTCAGTGGGAGCAATGGTGAGTTGTCTTGTGGGTGTCGGGCCTTCGAATCCTGTGGTAGTGCAGCAGAGCTACAGATTGCTCTCAGAGGGGCTGTTGTTCAGTGTAGTGGGGGTTTTTTGTTTGTTTTAGCATTCTGCCTGCAAAAATACATGATCTTCACAAAACTCCTAAAATGAACTTCTGGTGAACAGCACAAGTCCTTACAGCAGGGCTTGTGTTGTGCAACTGATATTATTTTGCAGCGTGCAACAGTTAAATTCTGGTTTTGACCTAACGTAGGTAAGAGCACTAGTATAGATCCGGTGTAAATTGTTTTTCTCCTGTGTCCTCTTACTCTGTATTCTTGCTGTGCTCAAAGGCTACTGGCTTTTGATGGAACTGTGTGAGATTGTTTTGGAGAGAATTTCTTAGGATCTTCAGTGCAGTTGGGCTTCAGGCTGTGTTTTCCTTCATGTCTGGATTTAATTGTAGATAATTTTGGAGGAAAACCCGTTTTCTTACTTTGGGAAACCTGGCATACTGGTGGCATCTGGTCATTGTACCAAGCAATCAATCACTAGATAAAAAGGGGCAGAAATGAGAGATACAGAAAATAAACAATCTAGGCAGAATGTCACTGAATAATATTTTTCCCCCCAATAAAGAATTTTGTGTCTGCAACAGCGGTTGTTCACAGCCCTGACTAGAAATGGCAAAGTTCTTGTGAGGTGGTGCTTGTGGGGACCCTGTTCTCCCTCCCCTCCCCACACGTTAATAAAAGTACTGCACATGTATGGGAGGTGATCGGGCCCCTGTAATGAGGCTTAATTCCAAACTTCCTTTCTTTTGTGGAGCCTGGTGAGAGTTGTAAGCACTCCCTGACGCTGCCCAGAAAATGGTACTTTTCTTTGGGACCATTTTCCTAATACAGTTTATATTTGTTATGTTTTGATTTTCATTTTGTAGAAGGAAATGCTTTCCAAGAACTTGTGCTAATGGATTTTTCCACTCTTATTTTTTGCTATTGCTAATACTCTTACGAAATTGCCAGCGTTTTGGACCAAGCCATTGCTTGTGACAGACATGTGTGAGACTTTATGTTACAGGGTAAAATACCAAGAAATAATAGGATACTTACTAAAAAAAAAAAAAAAAAAAATAGAAATGGCCCTGTCAAGGTAAAAAAGAAAAAGGAAAAAAGCTCTAGTCTGAAGTCACTGTATTGACTGCTGGTAAAAATAACAGCAAAGTCTCTGACAGCTGAAAGAGAGAAAGGAGGAAAAGCATGTTGCTTTTAAGTTTTTCCCTTTGTTCATTGGCGCTGTGCCCATAAACCCCATTCAGGGCTCTAGAAATGGTTCGCTGACTTGAAACTCTGGCTGCTTTTAATTGTATGGGTTTTATTTGTTCAAGTAATGTGAGGAAAATACTGAGCTAGGTCTCTCAACATTAAATTATCAACTTTAGAGACATTTTTTTTTGTCCAGCTTTTCAGACAATTTAAGAGGGATTCGGGTTTTAGATTGGTTTTGCTGGTTTCCAAATGCCATTTTTTTCACTATGGCTTTGAATTGTTATTGCACCCTCAGAGAATCTCACCATGAGCTAGCTGACAGCATAGTGGTATACATTTACACAGTCAGTCAGATGGCACCAAATCCACCTATAACATTGAAAAGCTGTTAAGGTGTATTCAAAGAGAGTACTGTGCAAGTCATTTGGAGTGGGTTTTTTTCAGCATTTTCTGTTGTTAAAACTGCTTGAAAAAAATAAACATGCAAAAAAATGTACACTTGCATAATATGTGATTTATGAAAGCATAATTGTTCCATTACTTTGGCTTTTAAATATATTTTAAAATCCCACTTGTAAATGTAGCACTTTGTTTGAAAATAAAAGTTCTGTTGCTAAAAGTGAAATGAGAAAAATAAAAAACATTTTAGAGTACTAATAATGCCCTGGTTTAGGTTGCATTTTAAAAGAAGTACTTCATTCTTTTGAAGTAAAGTAGAAGACATAACGTTATGTGCTTATCAGATGACAGTCTTTTGGTGTTTGTTTTATTAGAGTGAAACTGGGAAAGGAAAAATGCGTAAGTCTTGCTGAGACTTAACTGCATCTTCATTAAGTTGTAATTAAACAAGAAATAAAAAGTATCCATGTCACGTTCAGTATTACTGAGAAAAAAGGGCTTATGTTTATCTCCTTGAGGTTTCCCTTGTGATAAGCACCTATCTGTGTTGTCATGATTGTCTGGCTTTGAAACATTTAACTATTTATTTTAGTTTGGGGCGAAATACGCGTTATTCAGGTTTTTTCCTTTTAACAATATTTCTCTTGGTGGCTGCTGAAGGCGGAAGAGGTGTGGATGGACTTGGCGATGTGTTTGTGCTACAGGCAGAATCTGTTATTTCAGTTGATGAGTGGTGGTGTCTTCTTTGGGCGTATTCAGAACTTGGATGTTTCTTCATCATGACAAAGGTCCCCTTATTGCTCTACAGACATTTCAGAGTGGAGGGCTTGCTTGAAATAATACTGCTTTCCTGGGTGGTTCGTTTCATTGGTTTATGTAGAATTGCTGTCTTCCAGTTGTATTAGTGAGAAAATTGGCATTCTTCCTTTTTCATACCTTAAATTTTGATTTCAAAAAAGTCAAGTTTATGATTCAGGGAACAGATATCATATAGTTATCCCGTCATGCGTATTCTTCCCCGGCCCCCAGTACCATCCCCCCCCACTTTTTGAACCTCTCATCTAGAAAGTCAGCTGTGTGTCTCGTGCTTCACACTGTTGCAACACTTGGTGGAAGAGCCACGTGTACTAGAGCTGCACCACTGGATAAGCAAAGCCAGCCTTCATCCTAACCAGCGGAGCTGTGCTCTTACTTGCTTTTGGTTGCTGGAAAAGATAGAAGGAACGAGTCCCTCAGTCAGACTGGCACTGGTAGTGTCTTCTTGTGTTATGAATGGTTGCTGGGGTGGACTGTGAAAACTCAGCTGGTCCAGTACTTTGGGTTTTTTGGAAGCAAAGGTGCATGTGCTTTCACATGGTTTCAGTAAAATAAATATTCCTAATTATTTTATAATTTTTAACTTAGTCTATTAGTGCTGTGGGAAATGGACTTCACAGTGGTGTCCCTCGTTAGAAAGACAGAGAGAAATTAAGTGACACGGGTCCCCCAAGGTAATTCTGCTGCAGAACCAGGAACTGGAATCCTGTTTTCCAGTCTCAGGGAGTGTGATTCAGCTCCAGGTTAAGATACCTGGATCACAGTAAAGTTTAGGCTGGAAGGGATCTCTTGAGATCGTCTGGTCCAACCTTTTGCTGAAAGCAGTCTTGGATTAGGTTATTCAGTGCCCTGGTAAACTGAGTCTTAGCTATTTCCAGCAAAAGGCACTATACTACTTCTGTGGGCTCCTTTGTTCAATTCTTCTTGTAATGAGCAACTTCTCCTCGTGTCTGGATGGAGTTTCCCCTGCAGCAGCTCGGGCCTGTTGCCTCCTGTCCTCTTCTCCTTTTCGTGCATCCTTGTGAAGAGACCAGCTCCCTCTTTGTGTATCAACCAGGAACTCTGTAGTTGTGCGTTCTTGCACTCTGCTAAAATAGCATCTCGGTGCTGCAGACCTCCCATACCTGTAACATGAATACAGGGGGCCCACGTCGGGGATCGACATCTGGTTTGAACACATTCCCTAATTGCACTTGTTGGGTAGTAGATGTGACTTACAGAGGTGAGTGACGCTCTGGGATGGCACCTGCAGTGAAGATCCCCTTGGTTCCATGGTTTGGCCAAGTGAATGCTGGAGAGTGGAGTAAGAATCTGTCAGATTCTTCATAAATCTTCTTTAGAAATTCAGAATCAATAAGAAACATTTTTCTCTTTGCTACGAAGAGTTCATGAGCAAAGGAAGAAAGCATGTTTCATAACTCCTGCAAAAACTACAAGTGTTTGGAAATTGATGGATTTGGTTTTATTTTCTTGTGAGTCCAACTGATTTCATTCATGTAATGTGTAACTTGTGAAATAAACGCCTAGTGCAACTAGTGTCTATCATTTTGCCTTCCCTCTCCCCCCCCCACCCCCCCCCCCCCCCCAAAAAAAAAGTCTTATTTAACTTGATGATAATTTTATTTAAGAGTTTGATTCATCAGATTTGTCCTGGGATGTAGACTTACTGTGGTACATAATTTATTAGGAATTGAGATGAAAATTTTCATTGCATAAGAATCAATGGTGAGCTCGACTTCAGCTTGTCCAAGATTTTGCTGCTACAGCGTAATATCAAACGATTTCTTAGTATTTCTTTCACTTGCCCTCATTATAATAATTTCCTTTTCTGTGAATGAATATACAAATCCATACCGAAGTCACACTAACTAAATAAGGTTTTTGGGGTAGTGAGCAGGAATTTAGCAGCTCGTTAGTGATATTTGAATCGCCCATTTCAGTGGACTTTGTTCAGAGTGCGTTCCTTCTGCCTCTTGTGCTCGTTGTATCTTTGATCCATTTTCAGAGCAGCAGAGCCATGTCCCAGATACAAAGAATATAAATGATGATAATTTTGATCAAAAACAAATTAGCTCTGAAGTGAACATTTACTCTTTCCATTTTATTAAAAAAGCTTTTTCAGTTCCCAATGCCTGTTAGACAGGGGTTTTAAGAATACAGCATTTTCTCTGCTTTTTACATGTATAGCATTCATCACAGAAAAGGAAAATGTTATTTTTGTTTTGCTGATACTGAAAATAGGTTCTTGTCACTGGTCTAGTGTTGAATAGTGTTTTCAGCATATCCAGGACTATAATTTGTAGTATTGTCTGCTATAGCTCATGCAGAGAAAACTATTATTCAACCTGTATGTATTCTAGGATAGTAGACAGGATAATTTGTCCTGTTGATTATGAATGTAAATATTGTTTTTAAGGCAATGGTAACCAAGAGTATTTTTCCTATTTACAGAGCAAGCTTTACATGGAAGGATTTAGAAGCCTAAAAGAAGGAGAACCAGTGGAATTTACTTTTAAGAAATCTTCCAAAGGCCTTGAATCAATACGGGTAACAGGCCCTGGTGGGAGCCACTGTTTAGGAAGTGAAAGACGACCCAAAGGGAAGACAGTACAAAAAAGAAAACCAAAGGGAGATAGGTAATTACCTTACTTCGCTATTCCCCACTTTTTTTTTTTTTCTGTGCAAGTTTTTATTGAAATGATGTTTTCAGCATTTCATTTGTGAAAAGAACCTTTTATGTAAATTTGGCCTTTACATGTAGCCTGGTAATTTGATTAAACTTACGAAACTGTATCTATACAGCTACATAAATCACACACTTGATTGGTTTTACTTGAGGAGGTTTTATTGAATTAGAGGAAGCCTGCAAAGGAATGTAATATTATTTGAAAATACTTGTGTTAGACTGAGAACGGTTCATTCTGAATACAGGTAAAATAATGTCATGTTTAGGTGAGAATTGTGCATGCTAAAGAGACTGCTGTGTGCAGTGGGGTTTTAAACTGTGCATCAGTAGTTTTATACGGAAGAAAGTGTAGGGGGTGCAGTCTGGGTTGAGATATCCATAATTTGATTAATTATAGTGTTACTTTGTGAACAGAGTATTGGGTGTTTACAAAGGTTTTAATGCCTGGTGGTCTGAAGAACTGTAGTAATAACACTTCACAAATTTCAGGTTAGTCTTGAGAGCTGCACTTCTTTATACACAAGTGCAGCAGTCTGGCTTGCACGGCTTTGCTTTACTTTCTGCCTCTGATGGTTCTGTAATTCTCTTCACTACGAAGCCACCTGCACCTAGTTCCCCGAGGACAGCCTTCCTGTCCAAAAGCTCTTGTATTTAGGTGAATTTTCCTTTTTTCTTCATGGTATTGCCCAACCCAGTGGCTGTAATGACTGCGATCAAGGGGGATATATAGTTTGTGAAACATCCTAGTAAGATCCAAACAGCCAAGTTTTTTGCCTGCAGTATTTGATCTGTGGCACAGCTGAGAGATGTGTCTCTTCCATTGCAAATTCTGAAGCGGAGAGTAGGTTGGGAAAGAGGGGGTCACCTGGAAAGGCAGTGAAGCCCAGCCTCGAGAAAGAGGGGATCAGAAGCTTTTGTTGGCTACAGATGAACTCCACTTGTCCCCACCTCTGTTAAAAGGCTGCTTCTTTTTTCTTCTTCTCTTTCTTCCTCTTTTTTTTAATTAAAGGCTGGAGACAACATGATAGTTGTGCCTCTTTCACCTTTTTTGTAAAAGCTAAAGGCCATGAACAAAATTTATTGCTGCTGTAACAGATCAGAGTCCATAACCACAAGGAGAGACTTTGTAAGCCAGACAAAGCTTTCTTTTTGATTGCTCACCATATCTGGCCTTTCAGAGTTGTGTTGCATGCAATGCCTGTGAACAATCTTTTTCTTCTTTTTGTTTTTAGCTAGGCTTCCGATATAGTTCTTATTTAAACCGTTGATTTTCCATGGACTATAATTACTAATCTATTTAGGGTATTATCATTACCATTGTTATTGGCGTTTCATACTACAGTAGCAAATAAAGGCCACAGTCATGCAGTCGTGATAGTGTTGTCCTGTTCGTTGCACATGTATATGAAGGAAGACAGTCCTTGCTTCAAAAACCTTGAAATTTAAATAAACAGGTTGTAAGTAGACAGGAAAAACTACATATTGAAGGAGACAGGGGTTTGAACAAACGTAGGTATCTATAGTGCACAGTGCAGTCAATGCAGAGGAAGCAGTGCTTCCAGGGTGCAATTCATCTCATTCTAGGCAAGCATCTAATATATTGGGGATGTATCTTGCCTTGTGGCTGTTTCCCTTCAGGGACTGCTAAGGGAGTCTAGCTCCAATCCTGTAGATACTTCCCTTATAAATCTCCAAAGTTAGGTGAGATGAATCCTAATTTCAATTATGTTTTTTCATAGCTAAAGCATAGAAAAAATTGAACAGATACAGCCTGAAAAACAATGCGGAGGGGTGATCTATGAGACAGTGTACTCTTTAATGTTCGTTTGCCTTTAAAGAAGGAACAATTAAAAATTAGATTGAATTAATTTGGATATTAAAATGTGGGCAAAAACATCTACTCGCTTCTGTCTCAAAATTCTTACGCCTAAGGCATATGACACCAAAAAGGTGTGAAATTTGAAGGGTTTGAAGTAGCAGTGACATCACTCAGTGAGCAGTGGCTTTGCTTGGGGGAAGATTAGTTTTGATTGAATGTGTAGCCAAATAAAAAAGTGCATCTCCGACGTGTAGTTTCTTGAAGACTGATGTTGTACTATGAGAACCGCCTCCGTTTGTGAAAGCTAATTTCAGTTTCTTGTGTTCATCTCTTTTCTGCATTATCAACGTTAACAATGTAAGGACCAGCCTCAGTGCATCTTTTTATATGGATCCTATTTGAATGGATCCCGTGACTCTATTAATGGTGTATTGTGGCGCAAGGGGAGACTGACAGAAGGAGTTAGAGATAGCAGAGGTGGGAAGAAGAAAGGGAAAAGCGGCGGTACGTGCAGCGAAGGAGGAAAGAAGACGTGACACTGAGGTTACCGATATTGATGCTTGTTGGTAGATTTTGTGGGGCTTCTACAGTAGACTCAGGGTCTCTGTAATTTGCAGAGCGTTGTTGCTGTGATAATATTTCTCCTTTTAACATAGGTGTGAAGGCTTTTAATTGCTGCCTGTGATACTGGCCACTTCGGCATCTTTCTCAGCCAGCATGCTAGTGCATGCCAGTACGAGGACGGGAAAGTCTTTTGCAGGCTTTAGTTTCCCAGACCTTACATTAAGCTATTGTAATATCCATGTGTCTTAGGTATATATTTTTTTTTTCAAAGTGTCTAAAGTAATCTGGGCTAGAGAGGAGGTTTCTAAATGAGCCTGTTAGCTGGGGTGTGCATCTGAGAGGCTCTGGGTTCAGAAGTGGTGTTTTATGGTAGAGATGCACAGTGGAGGGGCTGGTGTCTACCTAACTCGGCCAGGGGATGAATTTCCAGTGCATTACACTGCAGCAGGCTGTGGCTGTCTTCGTAGGAGCTCTTGACACATGACAAACACGGTGTGTTTTGCTCAGATTTGATAGTGAGCTGACACAAAAGCACACTGTTCTGCTCTCTAGGAATGACTCTGGGGGGAGCTGATGCAGAAAAGATAAAGTACTGTGAATTCACACCTTGATCACCTGCTCAATAACTTGCAGAGAAGCCTGTGAAATCTTGACTTAGAGTAGAATAAATGAAATCAGAACCTAGCCCACCATCTCAGAATAAAGTTTGGAGGAAGGAAAAGGGAGGAAGGAAAAAAAAAACTTTGCCGTTATTAAAAAAAAAAACCACAACCAAACAAAAAACCACAACAACAACAAAAAACAAACAAAAAAAATCAAACAAACACTGACACTGTTTGCATGTGACCTAAAATGAAAGTGGCTAAAGGACCATTTTATCGGTTGCAATTTTTTATTTAAGATTATTTTTATAAATGTATACAGCTGGGAAAATATTCTTTAGTGCAGTGTATATTTAAATAAATTTGACCCACAGACCTTTGGCACAATATTAAAAAAGATGATGTATGATGCGCACCGGAATAGAAGCTAGACTTATCTTTGGGACCTAGAGGTATTATCCAGTATCTGTAAATATTCCTAGCAGGAGCTCAGCGTTGGATACTTTTTCAGCAGAGTGTCTAGTGCTGTATCTGCTCAGTTTGACACATGCTTCACATGGAACTTTTGGGGGAGGACAGGGAGGGTGACACCTTTTTCTTTTTTTTTAGTTTTGAGTATTTACACTAAAATGGAAGTAAGAAAATAAAGCAAGAAGGAAGGGACAAGCAAGAAATAATTAAGGGTATAGCTCCATCTCCTAGTTGTAATTTGTCATATTTCAGTCCTATGCTACTCTCCGCTAACATCACACTTGTGGCAGGGAAGCTTTCTAGCACAGGTGATCTGTGTCAGTAAGTGGTGTGGATTTAAACGTGTAATAAATAATCAGTATGTTGTAAGATTTCGGGTTTGACATGGAACATTTCACTCACTTGGTTTATAGTGCAGCCTTCCAGGTAAACTGTGAAGGAAGGCGTTGGGAGCTGCTGGAAATGAGGGAGCCTAGCAAAGCATTGCCACTGGACAAATGGTGATGCTGAATTACGTTCTGGGAATATGACTAGTGAAATAGCTGTGTATTTCTAGCTCAGGTGGCTAAACAGTAATGAGCATTGCAGCATCGACGTAACACTTCAAAATACTTTTTCCAATGTAGATCTCTACAAAGGAGAGACATGTAGGAAAGAAGTGGTTTTGTGTTAAGATGTAATAGTGTGTACCAGCAACTCTTGGGCATGACCAAAAGCATAATTTTCAAATGAAGAAAAACTTACTTCTAAACCACTGATTGGGTGGAAATACAGACACTTATGGAAGGGGGCTGTTATTAAATAATATAGTACTTCCCTGATGAATTGTCACTTAAAATTAGTTTGTGTCCGAGTCAGACAGAAAACAAATTTAGTATCTGAAGACATTCTGTGGATGATCTGAAGTCAGACTATAATAAGAAAATCTTAAAAGTCTTCTGTAAAAGCTTGTGATCTGCACAACCAACCACTAAACTGGTGTGATGCAGGTGGAGGTGACGGCACGGTGGAGTGCTATTTGAAGTTAACAGGACTAGGAGAGCTAGTTTAGGACAGCAAAGTTATATGATACAAAGCCACTTCAAACTTGAGATTATATCAATTCTGTGTCTAGTGACTAAATCGCACCCAGGTGTATAATTTAATTTTTGTAGAAAGGCATCCTACAGATTGAGCTGAGCAGATTTTTGTGAATAATGGGAACGGTAGAGGCTGGGAAGGAGCGCCCTGAAGTAGTACAGAAATGGGAGAAGCTCATCAAAATTGTGCTTACCAGATGGATGAGTCCGAGGTGGATGGGGAAAGCCCATCAGAGTCCCTTCACCCAAGAGCTGGGAGGCAAGGCCAGGCTGGTGGTCACCACACACAGCTACAGTGCAGGGGGGCACGTCCGCTCCTGCCCTCCACCAGCCCGGGGGACCCACTTTGGGCAGTTCCTGAACAGCACTGGGGCAAAATGGGGGGCAGACAAAGCGAGAGTGCCCAAGTGACCAG